GGGGGGGGGGGGGGGGGGGGGGGGGGGGGGGGGGGGGGGGGGGGGGGGGGGGGGGGTCAAGTTTGACATATCCGGGTTTTGAGGTGGAACATAAAAGTGCGCCTACACGGTACACCACTCTCAAAAAGCCGGATTTGTATGCCCTGGGAGGTGCAACACTCCATTCTCAAAAGATACACGTGTTCTCCGAGAGAGGCCTACCCTCCGAAAAATGAAAAAACAGTTCTTCTTGGACTACGTACGTTTCGGTGAGGGTTGTATGATCGCCAACGCTTGCAAGCGCCTATGTAGGTGGTGGTTAGCAACCGACGACTGAGCGACCACACAAGCACTCGTTTTATTGTTGATACTGCTTTGCGGGTTNGGGGGGGGGGGGGGGGGGGGGGGGGGGGGGGGCGTACTCTCATGTTTTGCATGCCTTAGCGGTTACGCCATTGGCCACGCGTCCTCGAGAAGACGGAGCATTTGTTCCCACCCGGACCGATCACCGATGGCTGATCGTCCCTTTTTACTTTGCCAAAGGAGTCTCAAAAATGGTTTTCACTTCGGTATGAGGGCATGGGGATCGGAATGTACCTCGGAATGTACCACCTCGGCTTCTCGCACAGTCAGCCCAGCGGCACAGAGCATCACCGGGCGACCTGGAGGAACGACTAACGGCCTCAGCCAAAGCAATTGCGCATTGATTGGTTAACCACACCCAAAAACAAGCTCACCTGCTGCTGTTGTTGTTCGAGCGCGGTGGTCGTCTCCACCTCCTCGGCGTCGGCGTTGTTGTCGCACGTGAACACGAACGGCGGCAGGTACTGATTTATGGCCACAGAAACACCCATGAATTGATGTGTTGTATGTTGAGGGGGCAGAGAGAGAGAGAGCGAGAGAGAGAGGAGAGAGACAGACAGACAGACAGACAGAGGGAAATAAAAGAACGGGGCCGGGACATGCCACCCACGCGGGAGAGGGTCAAGGCCACCAAATCCAGACGCCAGGCGAACGACGTCGCAATGCGCACCACACAAAGGTGCACGCATACGTGTGCATGTGTGAATACATGCATGCACGGCATCGCCAGAGCGGTCGGCGGACGTTGCCATCACCAGTTGAGACATGCGCCTCCGCCTTCGCTCGTGAACGCCGTTTCGGCGCCTGCAACACCCTTGGAACACCCTTGGAGGCGCGTGGTTTATCACCGACCAAAATTGAGCGTCATCTGGGCGTGCTGAAAACAAGGGTCATTATTAAGCAGCAAATCCCTGAGCCAAACACAAAGCCAAGGTAGCGTGCTCATCATGGTGGGTGGGCGTACGCCGACGTTCACGACAACCTCTTAACGCGCACCCTGGTTTCTTCATGTCTCACAGCGCCAGCCGTTCTCTGCTGTTTTGAGGCCATCCGTGCAGCGGCTCTTTCGGTAAAACGTACTACAATTATCATTACACTAGCTACGTCGATCACCGTCCTCTTGTCGACGCCGGAACAACCCAAGCGCAAAGATGATGCCGCTCAAATTGGACCCCACACAAAGCAGACCGCGTGTCCATGGTACTTACTATTATACCAAAAGCCTGACAGGGGACCACCGGAGAGAGAGAGAGGAACACTCCAGACCGCCCTCCCCATGAGCGAGACAAGAGACGGACACCACCTACACCACACCTTCGCCAGCGCCGGCGGCAGGCACGTCGCGGGGATGGACTCGCTGGTGCACCAGGAGCACGTTTCGCCGGTCTTGTCGACCATGCTCCGGCACTCGTCTGCCGACGTGGCCGTGACGCAGTAGTCCTCTGCGGGATCGCTGCCGGCGGCGGCGGTAGCCTCTTCCGGCAGTGCGGGCGCATCGCCGGAGACCTCCGGGGGCTGCTGCACCGTCATCGCCTTCGCCTCGCCGTTGGCATCAGCAGCAGCGTTGCTCTGACCGTCACACGTGAACAGAAATGTTGGCAGAAACTGGCAGGAAAGAGAGTAATCGAACAGGGGTAGGCGTCGAGACAGGGGGGGGAATGGTTGAGACGCACTCAGAGAGAGAGATGATAGGAGAAAGGGGACCCGCAGATTGACATGTTGGAAGCATTGGTACAAGGACGAGGGGGGGGCGTCATGAGATGCGTAAACTCGTTGTCATGGCGACGCGGGATACACGACGAAGACATGGGCACAGAGTCGCGAGGGCAGTGCCCATGTTCGTCGCTTAGCACGTGGCATGGGTGAAGGATAGAATGGTGTATGTGCGAAACTCTACGGGCACTACGCGTACCCTTGGCTTTCGACGCATAAGCACAACTTGAGAAAACACGTTTTTCAATTTTCATTTCTGGCTTCTCGCGCGCTCTGGTTGTAAGTTTTTTGAGGATTTGATAAAGAAATACAACATAGAGTGACGACGGTGTGCACTAATACCTCTACAGCACAATTTTTTCTTCCAGGTGAAGTCAGGAAGGTCGTCTTAAGTGGCCCTTCGACTGCACGAAAAAAAAGTGGGGCCAAATCTTCGAGGAAGCGTTGAAATGTGTTCAGCTGTAGACTACATTTATGCAAAACCCAACGATTTTTGCTGGAGGCCTCGAGAGAACAGCTTGGAGCGTATCTTTTTCTTGACCGTCGCTCGCAACGCATCTGTCATACAAACCAAAATTACCGTGCGGTGGCGCTCAGAAGGGGATACATACATACATACGACTCGGGGTCGCCCGGAGTTCACATCACCAGTCATCCTTCCTCCGGCACGACATGGACGATGCCTACAGCAGAAGTACCTTGTACTGAGAAAAATACCCCAGCAGGAGCCTAGACTGCGTCGCAGAAGGAACATCGCTCAAGATGATCCTGTACGGGAGCTTTGAGATTGACACGAGCGAACGCCGGGGGATACCCGTCGTTGCGCCTAGCACCTATGATGCTAATTATGTGATAATGCCATTATGTTGCTCCCGATGCCGAGGTGACCCCTGACAAACTGCTGTGTAGACTAAACTCGCCGCACATGACGCGGGTTTTCGAGAATGTGATCAACTATGCATATTTTTACTTATAGTAGACTAAATATTAACAGCAATATGTGTGTATTCATTCAATGCATGGATGCTATCGTCGGAGAGGCGTACCAAGCAAAGCTTCAAGGCTCGCTCTGCCGTAACCATGCCACGTGGTGGCCGTTCCCAACACAACCGTCCGCGCGTCCGGCATGATGCTGACCCGGTCTCCAACTGCAACCCCGAAAATGACGACCAAATAGACTATTGGTAGGCGCTTATTGCTCCTCCGTGACATGCGTTTCTACGACGCACTCTATCGTAGAGTACCTTGGCCATCGATGGCGGCAGGCACTTGGAAGGGAGCAACTCGGACGAACACCACGAGCACGCTTCTCCGCTGTCGTCCTGCGAAAGCCGGCAGGTGACCGCCGAAATTGGTTTGAAGCACGGGTCTTCCAAGGGACTAGATCCGGACCCGTGGCACAGGTCAGCCATCGCCGCCAAGACTAGCAGCAAGGGGCCCGTCTTCATCAGCGACATCACCATCTCTATTCGCCAAGGGGTCGCTTCAGTAGTCAATAGGAGCGAAGTGGTTGTTAGGCTTGCCACCCTCCAACCTCCAACCGACGTTCGTTGGCACCGCTCCGTGGATATAAATTTGGCAACCGCCCACCCCCCCCACCTAATACTTCATCCCCCCAGAAAGCGCACACCATTTCACCACACACAGCAACCCCTTGCAGCCCGTGTGGTCGCCGGCAAGGTTACGTGCCGCTGAACATGGACGTGGCAGCTTCCCAGCCCCCGATCCACCACGGGACCGCGGCGCCAACGCGACCTTCGCCGCCGAAGCCTACAACGGTGAGTACGAACAAAACATATTCACACATTTTTTTTAGCGCCCTCTCTCTCCAGTACCTACATTCATCTTCCTACAAGCAGCGGACTACTCATCTGATGTCGAACGTCTCGCTCGTCGTGTTACACAGCAGTACCCTCGCGCGTACCGCCGTGGTTTGGGTAGGGTGGCGGGTTTCGTCCACACATTTCTGCAGAGATGGAGGTGGGGATTTTTGAGTTTCTCGCACACGTTCGGCTACTACTCTCGGCCCACGACTCCAAAGTCGTTTCGGTGTGTCGATCGCGTTCGTTCACAATGACAACGACGAGAGGGGATTTTACACCGGCAGACAGGCGGACGTGCTGATTCGGCCGCCGGCTGTCGGGGCCTCGTCCGAGCAGCCGATCGCCTGCAGCAGGTTGCTTGACATACGAAGCGCTGCAGCTGTAGAGAACAAATGTTGACGTTTACGTAGGGGGGGGGAGATGGTGAACAACAGTGAGAAGCGAAGCATTCACGATGATGTGCAATAATTACGGCGGTCGTCGACGAGAGAGTTCACATTGAACTCGTCTGAAAAAACGTTCGCATTTTCGAACCCCTCACTCACGTGCAGGTGAAAACGAATACTTGTGGGTTCTCCCCTTCCCCTCCCTTCTCCACTTCCTTTCCTCTGCCGGTGCTTCCTCTTCAGCGGGCGAGAGAAAAATGTAGACTCACGTGATGATGCTGTTGCTGCTGCCTGTTCTCGACAGCCCGCACACCTGTTTCACAGGGAATTGCGGGGCACAGCAGTACTTGACCTTCGAGATAAACGGCTGCCCTCCTTACTGTCAGTACAAGTAAAACGGCACTAGCCGAATCGTCTGATTATTGCTTCAACCCCCCACGTCAGTTTGCCCGCGTCTGTGACTGCCACCATGGAGCCAGTGCGGTGACAAGAGCTGCTGCCAACGGCGATTACGTGAACCGAATGTGGATCATATATGTATGGTCATGCGATTCCCGTCTCGCCTTGCGTGTTTTCATTCTCATGACGACCCATCACGACCCTGCTGGCGTTTCGTCATCACTACCACCCACCACCAGCCGCGGCAGGTAGTCGGCACAACCAGAGCTTCTCGCTCCAACAACAACAACAGCAACGGCGGCAAAGCGCCGCTGGCGGCAACGGCGACGACCCGCAAGAAGGGAGCAGCCACAATAGCGGCAGTAGCGGCGGCGGCGGCGGCGGCTGCTGCAGCTACGGCAGCAGCAGCAGCATTAGGCGTGGGCGGTGGTGATGGCGGCGGCGGCGGCGGCGGCGGCGGAAGCGCTGTTCCCGGAGGCGGCGGGGGGGGGGTAAAAAAACGCGATAGCGCCAAGAAGGGCGGTGCCGAGAGCTCGCGAGGGGCACGAGGAGGCGGGAGCGGGGTAAATGGTGAGAGCGGGAGCAGGAGCGGAAACACCTCCGGCGTTTCTCGGAAGAGGGTACGCGTGAGGGACGAGAAGCTCGGCGAGTTCGCGGTACTGTTGGCACCATACAAAGGAGGTGAGGGGAGAAGGGAGCTCTTCCGTGTGTCTTTCTTGTCTCCCCCGGACAAGTAGTGCGGTAAAACAGGGAGTTGGTTTCCAAGAGAAAGACCGAGTCGCACGATGCCTTTCGGCGAGAGGGCGACTGTTTTTTTGGTGTTTTGGGGTCTTGCTTTCCGTCGCATTGCTGTCGAGGAGAAGAGAACTCCCGCCGGGGTGGCTAGCTATGGGTGCTTCGTGACCACCGATGGTTTGCCTGGGCATCCCAGAGGCACTCCACAACGGTCGAACGGGCATTTTTTTAGCTGCTGTACGACGGCAGGGACGAGACCCCAGTCGCCCCGAAGTCTTCTCCTCCCCGCCCCTTATGCCAAAACTACTGGAATTCGATGGCATACCCTGCTCGACATCTTGGTGCTGCTACGAACTGAAATCCTGAAATCAGAGCTAGCAGGCACGGAATTGTGTCCTCTTCAGCTTAATCTGTGCCAACTGTTCATCTCCTGGGGGCGACGCGCGCGCGCAAAATCCACGTTTTTATGTTTGCTGAATCCTGAAATGTGTCTCCCTAACGCTCCGTCTCCCCCCCCCTTCCTTCGCCGCCCCGCCCTTTTTTCTACAACAACCGACCAGACCACAACGATATCTGCGAGGTATGCGACAAGGGCGGGGACCTCCTGTGCTGCGACTTTTGTAACCTGGTGGGTGGCCTTGCGTTTTGCTCTGTTGCGCAGGGAGAGGCGGCACACAGCAGCAGCAACGGAAGTCACCACGTGCAGACATAACAGATGCAGGGTTTGGTGGCAAGACGTTTCCTGTTAGGCCTTTCAGGCATCGTGGATGCGTTGGGCTGTAGCATTAGGGCAAAATCGCTTCGTCCGAAACAGAAAAACCCCCTCAGAGTCGTCCAGCCTTGTTCCGTGTTTCGCCGCATCGCCGTCACTCTCTGCGCCAGCTTGTGACTTGAACATGTGTGTGTAACTCCCCCAAGTCCGAACGGCGGGTCGATATGCACTTGGTGCGTTCGATACTGTTAAAGCTGTTCATACTTGTTTCTACGCGTGCTTCCGGCGCACGCCTCGGCTTATTTTGCGACAACCGGCTGTCCGTGGCGGTCCGTCTCCGTGCTACCGTTGTGCTCTTGTTGGCCCGCCTTGTCCCCCCCGCTACGTGGAGTAGACTACTCGAACCCTCTTATCTGATCATCTGAATGTGCTGTGCGGGCGGGGGCTCCCTCTTTGATCCCCGTGTCGATGTTGTTTTTGTTGCAGGTTTACCACTTGTGCTGCGTGACGCCAAAGCTTACCGAGGTAAGAACATAGAAAAATACCGCAGCAGCTTCGTGTTAGCCGCAAGTGCTGTTTTTGTGCTTGGTAGTAGTGTTGCCGTGGGTAGGAGAAGGCTGACTGGCGTGAAACTCAGATGCTGTCCTACGGCCTTGATACGTTCGGTGACCATCTTCTGTCAACCATATGATAAAGAGCACGGGGGTGGTTGGAGGAGATTCCCTGGTTCTCACCAACGGTACGGTAGCTTTTCAACTATGCCGACATCAACGACTGCACACACTATTTACAAACTTACCTTTCTGCGCGAAGGACTTGCGGTAGTAGTTATATTGTCATTTTTGATCGCTCGTTTTTTCGCCCCGAGGTGGAAAGTCTTGCGCGAGAATTCCGCCTCGCGCGTGTGACCAATATACGGGCTGGGTCTCTTGTTGTACGCGGCGCGCATCTTCGGTCGGGGCGTCAAGGGGGAGGGCATAAGGCCCGGCAACATGCAGAAAGGCGTTTGTTTCTGTCTCTGTTGGAGTATGTGTGTAAAATACATCATCCTGTTACACTTCCTGTGTTGTCCCCTTTGTTTCGCCTGGCAGCTTCCGGACGAAGATCTTTGGATGTGCCCGGCGTGCACGGCGGAGGTTACCAGCCGTGAGGTGCGTGCGGTGTGCGGGATCCGTTCCTGTCTTGACGCTGTTGTGTCATGCTGTTTTGCTCCGAGTCCGTCTTTTTACAGGGAGAATGTAGTGCCAGACTTGTGCCTAGGCCATATCGCTGTGTAGGAATAGGTCGTGAGAGTATCGCTGACGAAGGGTGAAGCGCACTGTCTGACGCTTGAAAAAAAGTGTGCTGCTCTTGTATTGTTTCACCTCACGCACTCCGCGATACATACACGCCTGACGCGACCTCCTCCCACGAGCAACAAGCACACTACCTCTCAGAAGCACGCCATCAATAATCTTGGCACTCCCTCCCCAGATCGCTAAGCGGCGGCGATTGGAGGACGGAGGGCGGTCGACGTCGCCCGGTCCGGGAGGGTCGGGGCGACATCACGGCCAAGAGAGGGCCCGAGGCTACCAAGGAGTGAAGGCCGAAAATGACGCGTTCCGAGCCTTTGTGCTGTACAAGAACCAGACAATGGACATCGGCCTCTTCCCCACGGCCCAAGCGGCGGCGCGGGCCTACGACCGCAAGGTGCGGGGGGGGGCGGGGCGGGGGGGGGCGGGTCCCGGTGGACAAGAAGATGAACGCTNGGGGGGGGGGGGGGGGGGGGGGGGGGGGGGGGGGGGGGGGGGGGGGGGGGGGGGGGGGGGGGGGGGGCGGGTCCCGGTGGACAAGAAGATGAACGCTGGTTTTGCGGCGTTGGCAGTGCTGCTGTCGAGAGTATCTACTGATAGTGAAAGCACATCGACGCTCTTCTTCGTATGTTTGTGTTTGACTACACGACTCGCTGCTACTCAATGTTAGTCCCTCGCTTCTCCATGACTTGACCTTGACGCTCCATGACTTGACCTTGACGCCCATGTCTTTTTGTATATATCTTCGTGGTCGCCCCACCCCACCCCACCCCACCCAGGATGGCTAGCTTTCGTTCCGCCCAATAAGGCTGAGCTGTGCGTGATCCTTCCACCCAGTTACTGCTTTGCAACAGAAATTCACCTCTTCGCGCGTTCGTTCTCGCTCACCTCCTGCATGAGTTTCCTACAAACCACCTTCCGGGCTCTCTCTCTTTCTGTATCTCTCTCTTGGTTGTTTCGATGGACCGACACTTCTCTCATTGTTTGCGCTTGCCCGCTCTTTGCCGCACTCTGATGAAAAAATAAGGCTCTGAGTCTATTCGGCGACGCGGCGGTCTGCAACTTCCCAGCGGACGAGCAGGTCGAGGTGGAAGGGGTCGCCACAGACGGAACCACGGTCAAGGTAGGCATGCATGATACTTTCGCTGTTGTACGGGTGCGTAACAAATGACGGCGAGTAGGCATGCATGCAAACTCTCGCTGTTGTATCTACCAGTGCGTCGAGTACTCTTCCCTACCAAGTTCGTATCGGTGCTTTCGAGTTGGCATGCGTTGACACTGAATTGTTCGCACGGTCGACGTGAGGGGAAACCAGGCGTTACGTCGTCAGTAGTGCCAAGTGTTTGGAGACTGCTTTGGGGATCTGACTTGTTGGCTTGACTTGGCTTGCCTCTCCTCCCCTTCCCTCTGGTCGGACCTTGCCGTTCCTGTGGGGCGCGGCGTTGCTCATGGGAAAAAACAAAAACAGGGCGTGGTGCGGAGCTTTCACCAGTGGCGGGCTGAGATGCAGTGGGGAAACAAGAAGCGGCACCTGGGATTTTTCGAACGACGTGAGCTTCCCATGCGCTAACATTATCCTGCCCAAGGATACAGTCAGTACGGCTTAGGTTGTGCGGCGGCACCAGCTTCCACCTCGAAGCCAAGCAAGGGCTCCGATTTTTCCGATTGCTTGCGCTCCTTGGTGGCTCACACCCACCACGCCAGTTCGCACTGTTGTTCTGACTGCCGATACCCGTCGTTTGGTTGTTAACAATACCGCATTGGCATACCTGTCCTTGATTTTTTTTTTTTTTCTGTTGCGCGCAACATGCCCCCNACCTTTAGCCCCCCCCCCCCCCCCCCCCCCCCCCCCCCCCCCCCCCCTGGGTGTACATCTGATTTCTCACGTCCCCCAAGTGGAGCATGCCTCGCAAGCGTACAACCGAGCCGCCCTGTACATGAATGGGCCGGAGACCCCTCTCAACCCAACCAAGGAAGGGTACGTGCCCCCGCCGCTCACCGGACGGTCTGTGAGGGTGCCGAGGAACAAGTTGTTCGTGCAGCAGCTCCCCCTGCCGCTCATTGCGCAGGCGCAGGTATGTGGGCCGGGCGGAGGCCTCATCCAAACAAATCCAATACCGGGTGCTTTCTTCGAAGTGGCCCAAAACGGAAATGCGACAGAGAGAGAAATAGTGCGCTTTGAATGTCAAAACGGAGTCAACATCTACTGCACCCACACACCGTGTTGTTGTGCCGCATTTTGCGGTGGTGTTGTCGTGTTCATCACCTTGAAGGGGCTCGCTTCGGGCTTCTTCTCCTTTGACGCCTTCGCGTCGATGACGGTCTTGGTGTGGCTTCAGTCGGGAGCGTTTGGGGGGGTCCTGTTGTCGGGGGGCTAGACCAATGGGCCTACGTGCACACGTGTTGCTTGGTCGAAGGTCGTGGTGCTGTCAAGCCTCCCCCCGCCCCC